GCTGTGTTGCTTGAATTTGGCAATGTAATGCCATATTTGTGATTGTCGGCCGGTGGTTGAGTTATCCGCACGCTTGGCTTGCAATCCTATGGTCACTGGTTCAAACACTCGTAGGGACAGGCATTCCGCGAAATACTCAGGCCACGCGCGACTGGTGATGATCGCGCGAAAGCGGAGCGTCTTTACGGCATACAGCTGACACATATTTTTGATTGTTTTCGGTCGGATCGTAATCATGAGAAGGAGTTAAAGGAGATCATCATATTGGATGACTGACAACGAACAATGACTTGTCTCGGGTAAAACGTGTGTGCTTGACAAGTCCAGTAATATGGTTGGCGTAACAATTACAATTTCAAGGATCAACGGATAAGTAAATCATCATTTCAAGCGTCCACGAAGTTAAATACACTACTGCATAACGATAGTTTGAAGTGCGAATGGGATGTGCACATGCAAAATGATACAGAGAGCTCTTATAGTTCAGTAAGGGCGCGAGAAACAAAAAGGAAACGAAATCACTCATTGGTTTGTTTCTTCATTTGACAGATGTAGCATGTTGATCTACTTTAGCTACATCCAAGCTAATCACATGAACACTTCTGCATGTATCCTCTCCACCACGTTGCGGAGCGGGCCGTTAAGTAGATGGTTAGGTTTGTGTTATTTCGTCCTCCAAGTGGAACAGACTATATCAAGTAATGCAAGTTTGAATGCGTTTCATCAAGGCGTTTTTTGAAAAGCTTTCATATGGAGGCACGGATAACGTGAGTCGGAAGGACATTCCAGGCACGGGACACACAGTGGGAGAAAACGTTGCATCAACAATCAAGTCGACTGTACTGCGTAGCCAGTTTGAGCTGACGGCCTCTCAGGTTGGTATTATGGCTCAGCTGCAACACATTGCGACATGGCTGAGTTCGGTTTGTCAGTAGTAAGTAAAGCATGGTTAGGTCTCCTCAATGACGTCGATATTCACCACTGTACAATCTCAGGAACTGAAGTCTGCGTTGGTAGGAGAGATGAAACAATCCTCTAACGAGTTTGGCCGCTCTATCTTGTGGAGCTCCAAGTGCATCGACGTCGGGCTTGCGCCAGGGACGCTAGGCCTTGATCACATATGCCACATGTGGCCTCACGTAGACCTACAGCATTTGCGGAATGATTGATGGCTCAAAATTGCCGAAAGCCCTCCGTAAGAGTTCAAGATGCGGACTGGCTCTTTTTGATTCATTTTCAGCCTGCTTCGGGAAACGAAGGTCGTGCTGCACGATCACCCCGAGGTGGTTTTCTTGGGAAACACTTTGTAACTGTTGGTCCCCAAATGGATATTCATATATAAACTGATGTCATATGCTTACGACTTTGCACTTGCTCACGTTGTACTGGAGCTGCTTATCGGATGACCACGCATAAGACCTGTCGAGATCGCTTTGCAATACCATGCTATCAACTGATGTCCTGATATCACGCCAAAATTTGAGATCAGCTGCAAATATTAAGAAATTCGACTGTAGTACAATGGCAAGATCCTTTATAATTGTCAGGAATAAACGTGGCCCTAGTACCGATCCTTGAGGCACGCCACCCTGGACGTCAATTGGGTCGGAAATAAAGCTGCGGACTCTCACATTCAGCTGAAGTTGAGCAAGGAAGTTGCCGATCCAACCGAGTATAGGGTCACCGATTCGATCGTCTTGAAGCTTTTGAAGGAGAATGCGATGGTCCGAACGATCGAACGCTTTCGAGAAGTCCAGGTAGACAACGTCGATTCCCACTCTGGCATCGGCTGACTATAGTAGTGGAAAAGGCCACACGGAAAGAGCTTAACTACATATAAGAACTCAGTCTGTAAATAAGAATGCTGTAGCTGACCTCAGGTACATCACGATCTTCGCTAGGCTGTCAGTTAGTCGCACAATCTGATCGGAAGACGAAACTTAATCGGCACATTATATCGACGCGTTAGATCCGATGATCGATGGACGAGGCCCGCAGACAGAAGACGACAAACAGCACAACACGCGTAGCTGAAACCAGAAGGCGAATCGAAACGCGAAAAAGTGTGTTATCGATTGTTGGTCAGTTAAAACAAAACTGTACAATAATAATGGAAATGAGAATGGGAAAGTACAATTGGGAAGAAAGATATGTACAAGCGCTACAGAACTCCCCCCCTAGAGCGTGAGTCACTGAGACGTAAGCTCGATACTTGGGTGTCATTTACCGTAGTCTGGAAGGGAAAACAACTGTACGTCCGAAGCGATTTCGAGTTTGTGTCATGAGATGCTTGGGGTGCAGAAGATGGAACAGAGGTGTCCGACATGGGCTGAGTAGGAGGCGTACTTGGGAAGGTGGGCTGGTCGGTGACAGGAATGTCTGTGGGTTTCGGTATAAGTCGTGACTCGATGTACGCCGGCTTCAGGCGATCAATAGTCACAGTATCCTGATAACCATTTCTAGCTAGCACGAAGTACTTCTCTTTCCGGACAACAACCTTGAAGGGACCCTCGTAAGGCGATGTCAGAGGTTTACGGACGGAATCGAAGCGCACGAGAACGAAGGGGCAAGTGCGCAAATCTGGGTGTACCTGTTGACTCCGAGGACTGATTCGAGGTGGCGTTGGACGAATGGAACTGAAGTGCTGCCTCAGGCGTGTGACGCACGAGGTCGGATCAATTTCTTCAGTAACCATTGAGTCTAGCACCATTTCTCCAGGAAGTCTGAGAGTAGTGCCAAAGACCAACTCAGCGGGACAACAGCCAATGTCTTCTTTAATGGTGTTACGGATACCAAGCAAGATAATCGGTAGACGTTCTGACCATTGTGAGTTCGACTGTGAAGCAGTAAGTGCAGCTTTAAGTTGACGATGGAAACGTTCAACGATGCCATTAGCAGCTGGGTGATAGGCGGTTGTCCGTAGGTGGGAACAACCGAGCAAGCGGTTCATGTCACGAAACAAGGCCGAATTGAATTGGGACCCTCTATCGGTAGTAATAGTGGCTGGCGTGCCAAAGACGGAAATCCAATTCTCAATGAATGTTCGCGCCACCGTTTCTGTAGAAGCATCACGTAAAGGCACGGCAAGTGGCCAACGCGTATAACGATCGACACATGTCAATAAGTAGACAAAACCGTTGGATGGAGGCAAGGGTCCAACGATGTCAAGATGAACATGTTTGAAACGAGCGTCGGGAAGAGCAAACGTGCCGGGGACGGTAATCGTGTGACGGTGAATCTTGCTGGTTTGGCAAGTGATACAATGTTTGGCCCACTGCTGGATCTCGGAGCGCATGTTGTGCCAAATGAAGCGATCAGTAATTAGCTTGACGGTGGCTCGGATGCTCGGGTGTGAGATTCCATGCAGGTGGTCAAAGACGATTCGGTGGTATTGCTGAGGGACAAAAGGCCGGGGCTTGCCAGTAGAAATATCACAGTAAATTTTGGAGTCTGAGTTAAGGATTGGCAACTGTGATATTTTGATCGACGGATTTGATTTCGGTTGCACAAACTCAGGATCTCCTTCCTGATGAGCTGCTATGTCTTCTAAGTTAATCTTCTGCCTTGAAACTTCGTGAAGACATATACGTGACATGGCATCGGCGACAATGTTATTGGCAGCATCGACATGACGAATGTCGGTGGAAAACTGTGAAATATAATCCAAATGACGAATTTCTCTGGGGGAGAAACGGTCGGATGAACCACGGAAAGCAAAGGCAAGTGGTTTATGGTCTGTAAGAATGGTAAAAGTGCGACCTTCAAGCAGGTGCCGAAAATGTTTGATAGCGAGGTAGATGGCTAAAAGTTCTCGACCGAATGTGCTGTATCGCGTCTGTGTTGGCTGGAGTTTACGGGAGAAAAAGAATAGCGGCTCAGGTTGACCGTTGATTACCTGTTGGAGAACAGCCCCAACGGCGGTCTGAGATGCATCAGTCTTGAGGATCAGAGTGGCGTCAACAACAGTCCTCAAATGACTAAGCGCGGTAGCGTTGGACAACGCGTGCTTGATCTTGTCGAATGCATCGATAGCTTTCTGAGTGGGCTCGAATTTTCGTGACCTGCCTTTAAGTAAATCGGTCAATGGCTGGAGTAGCCCAGAGCAATCTGGTATGAAACGGCTATAGTAATTCACCATGCCGAGAAAACGACGGAGACTTTTGAAAGATTGAGGCATGGGATAGTCTGCAATCGCTTGTGCTTTCTCGGGGAGTGGACTAATGCCATTGTCGCCCAGTGGCCGAGTGGTCTGCACGTTTGCTTTGCAACCATAAGGTCACCGGTTCGAATCCGCGTAGGGGTGGGCGTCCTCGCGGTATACTCAGCCCGTGCGCGACTGGTGGTGGTCGCGCGGCAGCGAAGCGCCGTTACGGCGTACAGCTGACACATTATTGGCTGGCTTGCCGAACAACCTCCTCGTGGTGCCAGCTGGGTGGTTCGGGATTTTCCCGTTCCAGCAAATGGTTCGGCGGCAGTGTTCCAGGACGTGGTGGGTTTTCGCCTGGCAAGCGTTCTCCCTATAAAAAGCCACATATGTCCGTTTAACAACATTGTGACGTGGCGGACGTGACTCGCCACTAAATAAAGTCACTGCCCCTTGCTTCATCCTGGCGAAGCATTGTATTCCAGCAACGTCATGCTGTACTTCTGGGGAGCATTGGGCCCCTGTTTGACAAAGGAACAAACGAAAGGCGTATGAACTGAGCAATCAGTCACCGGCTCCCAATGGGCGCGATTCCCTGAATTCGCTCCGCTGCCTTGCGGACAGGCTATTCAGCCAAAGGCTCGGGGTGGTGTCCCCTAAGTCAACACCCTACTTCGGCTTGGGCAACCGGGTAGTATCTCGCCCTCTGAGGAAACCATGGACATTGTTGTGTTGTGTTTTATTTTACTATTTCTGTACTTTCGTTTGAATCCCATGGTTTCTGATGGCATTATGTCTATTCGTAGACTTTTGCAAATATATATATATATATATATATATATATATATATATATACTAATGCCATTGCAACCAATTCGGTGGCCCAAAAAATCAACAGAACTCTGGCCAAAAACACATTTGCCAACATTGATCGTAACACAGTACTGAGCAAAGCGTTCGAAGATCGATCGGAGATGTGACGGATGCTCATCATGACTGGAACTGGCCACAAAAATATCGTCAATGTAGGCGTAGACGAAATCGAGCCCTCTAAGAACTTGATCGATATACCTTTGGAAAGTCTGTGCGGTATTTCGTAGACCAAATGGTATGCGAACGAATTCATAAAAACCAAATGGCGTGGTTATAGCGGTCTTCGGAATATCGTCGGGAGCAACCGGAATTTGGTGGTGTGCACGCACCAAGTCAATCTTAGAGAAAACTGTTCTTCCATGTAGACCAGTTGAAAAATAATGGATGTGCGGAATCGGATATCTATCGGGGACGGTGGAATTGTTTAGTGCGCGGTAATCTCCGCAAGGTCTCCAGTCGCCACTGGACTTTTTGGGAACCATATGAAGCGGGGAGGACCATGGACTATTGGAAGGACGAACGATACCGAGACGAAGCATATGTTCAAACTCTGCCTTGGCAGTAGCGAGCTTGTCTGGAGGTAATCGTCGAGGTCGGGCGGTTACTGGCGGGCCATGTGTTAAGATGTGATGCGTAACCTCGTGCTTAGGCTCAGTAAAGTCATTAGGCGATTGACAAAGAGCAGGAAACTGCAGTAATAGTTTGTCGGCGGGCAATGCCAAGCGAAGACCGATCGAACTGATCGAAGTGACTTTACCCGAAACGGACAAGGATGTCAAACTATCGCATAGTTTACGGTTACGCCGGTCCACGATCAGGCCAAACTTGGTAAGGAAATAAACACCAAGGATGGGGCGTTGGACGTCAGCGATGAGGAAAACAAAGGGAAAACTTCGACGAAGACCAAGGTTAAGAGTCAACATTTTCTGGCCGTATGTATGGATCTTGGTATTATTCGCCGCCTACAATGTCAGTCCGGTTGGAAGTAGGTTGCGTTTTTATGCAGAACGAGGAATAACGCTGATCTCGGCACCGGTGTCAACCAAGAAGTTCAAATTGGTTTAGGAATCGTAGACGTAAAGTAGGCGACTGTAAGATTGGCCAGACGCAGCCGTCGCCATCACTGGCTGGCGTGGAGGTTTCCCTGCTGCGGTTTGTGGAATGCCTTCGGATGGTTACAACCAGGTCAACAATTCCTTGCATCATCGCCAAAACGGTAGTGGTACCAACAGAAACGACGTTTCGAACTCCTGGCGGGACCACGTCTACTTAGAGAGGAGCGTCTAGGGGTTCTACCACGGTAGCGATTAATGCTCGAGATGGCGAGCTCCAGGTTCGATAACCTCTCCGAAATGGTTTCAATCGGATCAGTCTTAAGATCAGCGTTAGCGGTCGACTCAACTGCGTGACATGCTGCGGGTTTATGAAAGTACTCATGAACTTAGTCTGCTGTTTCAGCCAGCTTGTCCAAAGACAAATCGTCTGCGAAGACGGCGAGAAGAGCTGAGGTGTTCGATGGAAGACATTTCGTCCAAAGCTGTCGAAGAATCGTGTCATCGACCTTAGAAGAACTGACCAACGTACGCATGTGCCTGAGAAGTTGTGATGGCGTGCGATCGCCTAACTCAAGACCGGAAAGTAATTGTCGAAGCCTAGCTTCGTCGGAGGCCGTGGTACGCTTTAATACGGCGGCTTTGAGTTTATCGTAAGGTGGGTCAGCCGGAATCGGATCGAGCAAGTCTATAAGGTCAGTTGCGATGTAGGTAGGAAGCTGGGCAGTGACATGTGCGAACATTAAGGACTGAGCAGTAATACGGCGTATGCGAAAAAAAGTTTCCAATTGTAAAAATTACACGTGAGGATTAGATGAATCGAAGGCAGGGAAGGAGAAACCAACAAAATTTTCTGAAATGTCGGTGCGGTATCGTGGTCCGACATAGATAAGTCAAAAAAGGAGTTCTGAGCTTTCAAAAAAAAGAAATCGGGGTCACCAAATATGTAGTGGTAAAGGCCACACGGAAAGAGCTTAACTACATATAAGAACTCAGCCTACAAATAAGAGTGCTGTAGCTGACCTCAGGTAAGGCACGATCTTCGCTAGGCTGTCAGTTAGTCGCACAATCTGGTCGGAAGACGAAACTTAATCGGCACAATAAATCGACGCGTTAGATCCGATGATCGATGGACGAGGTCAGCAGACAGAAGACGACAAACAGCACAACACGCGTAGCCGAAACCAGAAGGCGAATCGAAACGCGAAAAAGTGTGTTATCGATTGTTGGTCAGTTAAAACAAAACTGTACAATAATAATGGAAATGAGAATGGGAAAGTACAATTGGGAAGAAAGATATGTACAAGCGCTACACTATGTCCAGGTTGCTCGGGTTAGGAGCAACTTTGTAGAAGAGGATCGATTTCGGCGGAATCAGTGTTGTTATAACACTAGGATGTTGTTGCCCTCAAGATATCCCATGAGCGCCTCTGCAATTATACGTTCCATTACTTTGGATAAAACTGGGAGGAGCGTGATTAGACGATAGTTCGAGGGTTCCGAACGATTCCCACGATTGTAAATAGGAGCGACTAGTCCATGTTTCCACCTTATGGGAACCTGCATTTCGTCGAGACAACGTTGAATGAACCGAGCTAATGGTTCGTCAACTTTCATGACCGCTGTCTTCAAGGCCTTCGGTTTGATGTCGTCTACGCCAGGTGAGTGGTGCACGCACAATGACATTAGCGTTTTCATCACATTGGCTGACGTGAACGATAAGGGGCTTAACCCCGGTGGTGAAGGAAGCTATGTCACAAGCGGATGAAAAGATGATTCACTCCGGAAAGTATGGATGAAGTGTTGGCGAAGTATGTTGGCTGCATCTTATGCGGTTTGCGATAGACCATCCCTTGGAGGTAAAACCGGGATCCCGCGCTGCACTCTGTGGAGCTTGTTGACGTGTTTATACGGCAGGCTGGGGCTTTTCGATGTTATTACATCTCATCAGATAGTGTTAGCAGGCATTAAACCTGAGACCACTGGGATGTTAGTTGTGACCGCTACCCCTAAGCCACCGGGTCTGGGCCTGAGACAAAAACGCTCTGCGCTGCTAGAACTTTATTGCGTGCAGGTTGAAATCCCCCACCAGAAGGACGTGACTGTATGGTAGGTTCATCGCAGCAGCTAGGCATTGATCCATTTCCAAGGTGGACATTGGAGGACGGTAAAATATTTCTAGTAAATACACATCACCATGTCTTAGGTGCATACGACACCAAAGCGAATCGACGACTTTCGTTTCTGGATCCTCAAACACTTCGACATGCAAGTCCGGCTGATAATATAGAAGCACTTTCCCTCCTCTGTTAGGTCGATTGTTTCGTATAGAAGTCATGCCGGCTAGTGCAATCTCACCATCCGTGATCTCCGTGTCCAGCTAGGTTTCCGTGACCATAACTAGGTCCAAAGGAGTGGAGACCTGACGAATACTAAGTTCGGTTAGGTCGCTGAGAAGACCTTGTGCATTGGTATACAAGCAGATGAGGGCCTCGGGGGTCAAAAGCGTGTTTCCGGTGTGGGTCCATGGCGACCATTGCGGGGTAGGCTGCCGGTCGTTTTCTGTAGGACCGATGATGCAGGCACTGGGGCCAGTTCATTTTGTTGTATAGAGCTCTCAGTGCCAACAAGAGGGTGACCATGCTGTCCTCCGTCAGCTGTTGGTGTGTTTTGGCATTGTTTCTGTACTGAGCCACACGGTGACAGAATAGTATTGGTAAGTTGCTTGCTCAGTGCCACATTATCTCTCTGTGGCCCGGTGTCTATTGTCTTTATACGTATTTCGAATGGTAGCATTTCACGCTTTTTGTGCCACATTTCGAGCACATATTCTGCCATCAGTTCGGAGTGCAATGATATTTTCATCACTCGGGGACCACATTCTTTGTAGTTAAGTGATAGCGGTAACCTTGATGTCGAATTAGCGATAACATTTTCGAGTGAGAGTACTTCACGGATAAAATCCCATTCATCCCAGCCAAGCGCTTTGACCTCTAGCTCGCTTAGTGACTGGAGCTCGGGAACACTGTGAACAAGGATAGCTTTTGCGTCTTGAGTGAGACCAGCCGGATACGCAAAAGGCATTGACTTAGTTAGCGGCGAGTCACATTCGCCACGTCGCAGATATTTTGGCTTTAGTAGGGAGTACGCTTGCTAGGCGAAAGCCCACCACGTCCTGGAACACTGCCGCTGCACCATTCACTGGAACGGGATTAATTCGAACCACCCAGCTGGCAATATGAGGAGGTTGTTTGGCGAGCCAGGCGCATCCCCTGTAGAAGAAGTAAGCGGACTTTCAAACAGATCCCTTGTCGTAGCATTCTGGAAAGTTTTGAGTTACATAGGTGTTTGCTGCTGCGCACACAAATCACTGCACTTCACGGCCAAGTTGGCATGTGCATACAGTTTTCCACTAAAGCTAGAAGGACTTAGCAATTACCGGTTGACGCGGTTATCTCCTTGTTAGAGCTCCACGAGCGACGTGTGTCAACACATTTGGATCGGTTGGGGTACGCGCTGTGTGTTGGCCCCAGGTGATCGAGATTACTTTCGAAACGAATCACATATCAGGGTAACTGTGTGCCACATGTATTCCACAGAACTGATGCTCCTGACTAGCCAATAAGGGGTTTAGGTTGTCACTAGTGCATATCAGACTGCCGGTGTTGACGTGCTAGTATATTGAATAACATCCCGTGAGGCAAGAACACATTCAGGTCTAAGACCACCCGAGTAATAGAGTAGACTTAGCTTGCTCGACTGGATGAGGACATGGGTACTGTAGCAGGTGTTATCGCGCCTAAGCGGCTAAGCTAACTTTCTTTAGGGTCAGAGAAAAAGCTGCAAGCCTAGCAAGAATGGTGCTTGCACCATCTACACCGTCTTTGGTAATTAACCTACCCACGCAAGGTTAAGATATTCTTAGCATTTAGGATCTCCTCTAATTACTTAGCCAGATTTAGATTTATGAGTGGTTGCAGCTGCATGAAATTCATCGGACCAGCTGATTGCTATGTGATTAGAAGAGACACTTGAGCAGTTTGGTAAGCCACTCGCCATCTGAATAACCCTTCTGCGCATATGTGGACGCTGTGCCTGATCCGAATGTCGCGGAACAAGCGATTTGTGTCCACGATGTCACTTCACCACTCACGATTTTTTGTCTTCCAGATTACGCTGGCAGACTTCAGCCTGATACCGGTGGGTCCACTGTTGTTTAGGGACATATTTATCTTTTGGGGCTCCCCCTATTTTATTGTACACGTATTTTTGAGACCACTGAATATCTGCTTTTGATGTTAAATGGGTTATAGTTTCAGCAAAGCGTATTCGGCCTATGCAACGAGATTACTCGCCACACATAGATTGCCACAAGTGTAGTTGGTGGAAATGAAACTATCTGATGAATGCACACAGATACACAAACAGAAGCACCAATACATGTTTGGGTCAGTTTTTGCTCCGACTTTGTAGGTGGGTCACCTCACAGTCGGAGGACACTTCCGAATAAAAGTAGCCACGCAAACAAATAAAGCAGCCATCTTGATCGTCGTCTTGGCGTCTGCCTAACTGAGTTCGCGTAGTTCCCGCTCTCTGCCTTTAGTGGAGTCCATGTTAGACTGACTACTGATTGAACTGTATTCGTTTTTTCCCTACCGTCTGGGCTTACTGGCTATAGTAATGTCAGTTCAACATTAAGGTAATCATTGCTTAAACTGTACTAAATTGTGCGAAGCGTTAGATTTGATGCCAGTCAGAATACACTTTGTGTACTGCCCAGACTGCTATTTTTACGAGCCAAACGCCGCGTTACGCTGACAGCTGTAGTTTCGCATGGGCCAAGCTGTAACAGTCCTCACTGTTGTAAAGAA